TTAGACTCTTGGCACTCTTAGGTGAGCAGACTTAGTCAGCCTGTGTTGCCCTAACAGTTGGTCATACTGGTGCTGGGCATCGTTGGGAAGGTGGAGAATGCTGCCCTTCTTGGCATGGTGGAGAAGCAAGGCATAAAAGTTGAAAAGGTCAGATATACTTTCACCTCAAAGGAGGGATGGGCAATATTGACCTTACTGCAGGATGCTGGCATTTGCCAGCATCAGGTTGTATATTTCTGCATTTGCAGACATGGACACACTGATCCCTGCATCAGTCTCTGCTAGTTGTAGGGATGACAATGTGCTCAGCAAGAAAAAAGAAGAGATCACCATTCAGCAGCCCCTCTGGGAAGAGGTATGCACTAGAGGGGAGGGAAGGAAAGGGAAGAACAAATGGATAGATGTGCGTACTGGGCATGGACAGTCTGCACACAAAAGAGACAGCAGAGACAGTCTTCAAAAGCCATGTGCTTTTCAGCTTGAAGGACAGATGGCATGTTGCCATAGTAGACCCGAACCTCCTCTGCTGCTTGCTTCTCATGGTAGAAGTTGAGGTAGTAGGTCGTCCTGCATATTCTGCAGTGCAAGGATATGAGGACAATGGGGATTGTGCCCTGGGCCAGCATGTACAAGGTGCCAAAGTGCTGGTTGCAAAGGGTCAACACTGCACACATGCCAGTGCAAACATGGTGGGGACAGGCATCCCTAAGGCATATTTGGGTTGGGGGGTAGAAATGTTCAATGCCTAGTAGTATATAGATGAATGGGAGATAAGGGGAATGAAAGGAGGAGCTCACCAAGGTTGTATTTCTGTGCAAAGTGCGCAAAGAAAGGGAGGGGATCTACCAGAGGGCCAGTAGGATGCATAGGATCCCTGTCAGGTGTCCAAGCAGTCCACTGAAGAGCTTGCCAGAGGACAGGAATGTGCCCTGGTGGGAGCCTGAGTGAATTGGAGTGGAAATCTGCGACTGTGTTTGGTATCACAGCCAGGGGAGTGTTGAGGTGTTTGATGCCAGGGATTTCTTGCCAGGCAATGCATGTTTGGAGGTGCTGGCAGAGGGTGATGAAGAAGAGGGCTTGCTGGATGGTGAGTTGTGGCAAGGACTCATGTGCTGCTGAAAGCTGGCAAATGAGGTTGAGGAGTAACATGGTGGGTGGGGGAGTTGGTATGAGGAGAGGAGGGGAGGGGAGTCGAGGGAGGGAGGAGTCAGCAAGGGGCAGTGGATTGGCAGCAAGCTCAGCTGGTTGGACAACAACAAGCATGACTGGTGCCATTCATCAGGTATAGTAGATAACCAGTGACAATGTACATAATGTAGGAGTACAATGGAATAATATTATGTCAGCTGAGTAAGATATGTACAGTAAGCAAAAAACACTGCCACGTACCCCGTCCAGAGTCCAGAGTCCAGAGGACCCTGCCCCAAAACTCGTA